ACAATTAAGAACAGCTTACCTTCGCTACGCTAGAGTACATGGATCTAAAAAAAGAACTAGCTCTGTCGTAAAAGTTTTTTGCGTGTTCCATCGGCCAGTCGTATTCATCAATGAGAATAATGGTTTTTTTGCCAAAGTATTCATGAAGATGGCGTGTTAGACGGGAGATAGAGTTTATTAAATATGACTCGCCAATTGTTCTGTCAAGAGTATTTATAAATAAAGATTCATCATCCGGATAAAGCTTCTTATCATTAATAATATAACGATGTTCTTTATAAAGTTCCGATATTTTGTCCTTGATAGAACACAGCATTGATTCCCAAGACTCATAATCCAGATCCTAATAAAGCAATCATAATTAGCATCCTGGGTAAAGGAAGAGTCTCGTTATTACTCACTTACCTTGAAATTAATGTAAATAATGGGCCAATTTCCGAAGTGCAACTTCATAAACCAATTGAATTGAGCAACCTTAAGGTCTTTAAACAATGCAAGCTTCTTTTCTTTTTCTATTTCAGGCACCGGTTTGAGAAAAGTATAAAGCATTGAAAGGTTTGTAGATTTTCCAAACCGACGGGGACGAGTAATAAGTATAGCCCGCTCACTGTAGATCATAAATTCTATAATGAAAAGCGATTTGTCCACAAAAACGCCTGATGTAACGAAATTAAAAAAATTCGATTCGCCCGGAGAATATCCTCCTTTGACAATTACGTTTGGGGAATCTTTCACAGTGAGGAAAAGTCAGTAGTTATCAATCATTCTGGATATTTGAGAAATTTGTCATCAAATTTTACTTACCTTGGAACAATGCTTTTCTGGTTTCTACATACGTATGTTATATATTTTTTTAACAAATAATGGTCATTAAATAATAAGCATTTCAGGAAACCTTACCTGCTTCCTGGTCAAACCATGTCATAGATTTGGAATCATCAAAAACCTGCTCCCCATCGAGAGCTGGAATAGAAAGTGAGGCAATTGATTAGGTTAATGTTATGCGTTTGGCATAGAATACAGATATTTCAATTTCGATCTAAATAAAAACAAATCTGACTGAGTATACCTCTGATTAACCTTGGGCGTTTTCTCGGTGGTCCTTCGTCTGTTATGGCACAAGTTAATAAATTAAATTATTGTGAAGAAAGCAGTATAGGTTTGGAAAATTCGTGGTACTATTTACCCTGCCCTTCGCCCTTAATTTTATCAATCAACTCTGCAATTGTTTCGGCTGGTCCACCAAGAAGATTGTATGGTTGAGCTATAAGTTTATCAACATTCAACTTAAGGAAAGCGGGTCCAGGAACACGGTTATCTTCAAATACTTTAATGTCTTCATCTTTGAGAAATAGCTTTTTTTTATTAGATCCCAGAAAAGTAACAACATTATTTGGCCACCATTTATTAACTTCTTCAACTGAAGGAAGAGTAATATTACGCGACATGGTTTATTTTTGTGTTGCTTGAATAGAAGTGGTTAAGAAGCGAAAAAAATTTTTGGCAGGAAATAGTTGTACATTCCCTTTTTATAGTTTATACAAACAACAAGTGGGTGTTTTTTTTTTTTTAGTCGTTATGGCCAATCAGATTTGAGGTCAGGTGTAATCTCATGTTGTAGTAGAGGCTAATAAAATTCGGGTTAATCTGATTAATATTAACCAAGGTAGCTGCGCGACGCAGTCACGCTAGAACCAGGAACGAAAACAAATATAGTAGCTAACAAATAGTTCAATCAGCATACAAATGAGAACTGATCTAGATCTCATATAAGCATTTAATATACATGGCATCATATAATAAATTATCAGGTTATCAGACAACCCAATAAAAATCCTATGAAAAAAATGAAAAATGTTAAATATCAGAAATAGACAAATTTTTAAGTCAAAAATTCTTGTTTAATAAATCTAAATTAATTAATTTGTATCCAGATTATATATTAAAAACCGGATTATTCGAAAAATTTTATTGAATTTTATCTAGATAATATATGCTATGCGCATAGTGAGCTAATTTTCGCATCACTAACATGAAGTATAATATACCCCAAAATCAATTATTGCCAGAAGACCTTATAATAACCAATTATTAACTACGAACGTATGCTAATTAGTATTATTTATTTTCTACGTAGGTAAAAATAAGAGAAAATCCTGATCAGCACTCTCTGGACCCCAAATGATTGGAATTTAGCAGGTCATTCTCTGAAGCGTGAAATAAAATGTAACATAGTATCATGATATTGTTTTTAAACATAAGTATTATTGTTTAAATAGAACAGTTGCAAACTTATTAAAGTGAAATTTGCAATAGAAATTAAACGTGACTGTCCAGAATTATAACTCCCTTTGAACATATCAAGTGCCTTGTTATGGATTAAATTTTAATCATTTATGGCAGGTTATCGGTTCTGACAGGATCGGGCCGACATTAGATTACACAGTAAATAATTTACGATATCCTCAAATAAATGAATTTAATAAATATTTGCCCAATTTTGATAATTTACTACTATTGGAGACAGAAATTCTATTCTACAATTTATTCGAAAAATTTAAAAATAATTTACTCAATAAATTGTTCTTAATTTGAAATAAGAAAAATTTTATCGTCAATTATAGTACCTCTTATCCAGTCAAACCGATATTTTCATAAGCCTTGAAACAACTTGCTGAATTGACGGTCTTTTATCTGGATCAGACGACCAACAATCCTTATAAAGACTGATATATTCATCAGGTGCATCTCCAAAAGGCTCTTCTCTCTTATTACTTAGAATATCGTGCACAAAAGCCATCAAATTAGAATAATTTGAAAGTGGTTCTTTACAACTAAAAATTTGCCACATAATTATGCCTAAACTATAAATATTAGATTTAAAATCGAGTCGGTGTTGCGGGTTTTTAAATGATTGTGGATCTAAATAAGGTATCATATTTCTCATAGTGTTCACGGATGAATCTTTTTTTGTTACTGTGGATACTGTTGGATTTGCTATAAGTGCATTTTTATTCTCGACAAATATTGTACTAGGGCTCTATTTATTTACACACATAAGGATTAGAACATTCATTTTTATTACATAATTCAGTTTATAAAGCAGGAAAAAACCTACCAAGTTTTCATGAACTATTCCTTTTTTATGTAAATATTCTAATCCTTTAGCTATACCTTTCGCCATTTTTAGTTTTGCTCTCGTACTAGTTTTATTGCGAACTAAATAATCTCTCAAATTTCCATCGGCAGCAAACTGAAATACAACATATTTACTGTTTTCTAAATCTAAGTATTATATAAGATATAGAATTATAAATTGGTATTATTTAAATTGACAATAGATAAAATGTACCGTAAGTTATTCCGTAAAATTTTATGATATTTTTATGTTGTATATCTTGCAACTATAATGATTAAAAAACAATGTTAATGACAATATCTAAAATAAACAATCATTATTAGACCTTGCAAAGTAAAATTTTATTGTAATGCAAATCTCTAACATTAGTCTGCCATGCAATTCTTAAACTTTTAATTTTAATCCCCCAACCGTTGTCATGCGATTAAATGTGGCTCATGCGCAGGGGTGAGTTTGGAACTGGATTTATTAATACATAAGAAATCAGAATATTAATAAAATATATAAAATTCGTGTTAAACTCGCATTATTGAATCAGTTCCAAAATCTCGGGGAATTTAAGCAAACCTACCTGGATCAACTTTAATTACATAATTAACCATAATTAACCATAATAACAAAGGTTATCTTGTAATTTGATTGTCTAATTTGAGGAGGGGGATGATGTTATTCAACTAAGTATAATTACTAAATAAAGGTTACGCAATAATTGATTCTTACAAAATTGTCCATCTCTATTCACTCGAGATATCGAATTTTACTATCACGTACAGATAACGCTTGAGATATCGCGTGATGTCAATTACCAGTTAGGACAATAGTTGCTGATAAATTGGTAAAACTCTTGGTGAATGGTGGTGAAAATGACGAAATTTAATGTAACAGTCAATAATGGCAGTCACCAGTTTCACCATCATTATTTAGTTTCACCAGCAATTCTAGTATATCAAAGTGTAATCACCTGATTCTGCACATAGACAGATAATCATGGAATTCAAATTGAATTCAGTATACTATTTAATCATTAGTAACTTAAATATAACATTAGTAGTATTGAAAGAATTACAAATATTATGAGCTATGAAACCATAAATTTATATTTGTGAAATAAAATGAAAAATTAAGCTTTGCATGGCCTTATGATGATTTCTTGAAATTTTCACCTTTTGAATATCATCTACATTATTTTCGACAAGAATCATTGCTACCGTTTGGGGTTTATTGGACCATTTCAAAGTAGCTGTTTTAAAAATACCAAGTTCTGGTAGGTTCAGCGTTTTAATAGTAGTTAATTCTTTGAAAGGGATTTCTATGAAATTTGAGCGTGTCATCCTTAAAATTAACTGGGCAAAGATTCCACATTCGACTTTTATACCATTGGATATGCGTACATATTTAAAGTTTTATTTGTGCTCAAATGAAAGTGTAGATAGAATAAGCAAAATTCCTTCGGAGTGGGATTCCGTAATGCCGTAATGCTGTACAACGTAGTGCATTGCATACAGGCGGATTATAAAGATCCAAAAAATATTCATTGTCTTTGTGGAATTTTGTTCGTAATATTGATTTAAAAAGTATCATTCAAACATTGACGTACCAGAATTTATTTAAAAAAATCAAATGCACACACATATTTGAAACTAAATTTTCACACGTTATTATCAAACTTGTTTGAGATCAGTTCCAAACTATGAAATTGATTGCGAACAGATCCGTATAACATTACATCATAACATTAATTAAGATATATCTCATCAATTATCTATAATATTGTCGTACGAATAAGTGTATAACAGTACACGTTTTCAATGGCATGGAATTATCGATCATGATTAAATAAATCCCATTAAGTCACGATTATATTACCCTTAGAGTAATCTATAGAATTTTTGGGTCATTCTTCTACATAATTAACAGACCAAATTGTGTTGTTTTTTTTAACTACCTAGACTAGCTCTATAATGTAATAGAGCCATTTTTGCGATGACCTTTAATGTTATTATGATCAAATTTTTATTTTGATAATATTAAGAGTTGTTAAAAAATGAGATTCTATTGCATTGAAAAGCAGAGACCGTTAATATTACACAGATTTAATTGTGATGGATATAATCCCTCATCAGTTTTAATATATAACATAATTTGTGATTGTTCACATGTGAGAGGGATTCACTTTGGATCGGGCACTGTCACTGCTGTCACTGCATTGTAGAGCTAACTACATAGAAGTACAGTTTAAAATAAACACAATACAACTCTCTCTATTATTATGTAGAAAAATGCACGCTTCCTTACCAAAATTTACCAGAATGGAAATATTTTTTATAATAAAACATTAAATATTGAAATTTTTAGTATATAAGAAAAGCTATAATTTTATTAGTAAATAATTTTTTAATTTATAGAATTATATATTTCATTAATTGTAGTTCCAATAAATACTTTAATCTTTCAGATTTTTTTAAAAAAATTTTAGCCTGATCGAGGAATGAACCTAAAGTTTTTATAAATAGAGCTTAGAAAAATTGAGTTCCTATCCATTATCCGTTTTACTATTGATATCCGGATAATTATCCAAATGGATATCCGGATAAATTCAGATATGAACGGATTTATCCGGATGGGAACTCTATTTGCATTCAATTTTAATAAACATCTCATTAAAATCATAAACACTAACTACGTATTAAAACCCGTCGTTAAAATTGTGAAAACACCCATTATTAAAATCACGAAACTAACCATTATTGAAATCACGAAACAAACCACAAGCTGCGTTAAATAACGATCATGATCACTGTTAATATCACGAACCTGATCATTGTTGAAAGCAGGAATATAGCTACCGGTAAATCGCGAACCAACAACCCTTGAAATTATATACCTAACATTTTTTGTAGAGTGAATCACAAACCTAATCAATGTTGAAGTTGAACCAAACTACTTCTAAAAATCATGAATAATACCACTGCTGACGTTAAAATCTAAATCACTATTGGAGTCATAAACAAAACCACTACTAAAGCCATGAACTAAATCACAATTAAAATCACGAATCTTGTCATTGTTTATTTTTTTTTATAGATTAAGGTTCTACATATAGGAATAGGAGAAAAGAGAACATTTTTAATTAGCTAAGAAGCACTTAAAATTTTTTGATAATTTAAAAAAGATTATTTTACTTTTTACTCTTTACTTGCCTTATTGTAAAGATCAGCACTTTTATTAAACAATATAACAAAATAAATATAATAAATACTTGAGCAATAGAATAGCAGTGTTAAATAATTAGTAACAGGCTTAGTGGTTGCATTTACAATGAAAACCCTTACTTTGCAACAGCATAAAATCTTTGTTTTTTTTTTTTGTTCTGTGATTTTTACATTAATGAAAAAGTCTTATAAGATATGAAATTATTATAACCTGCATCATTGGTTAGAAATAACCACCCTTATTAAAACTTAAGGTTAGAATTCAGCTTTAAGATAAATAGAAGGTTTTATACAAAATATTTTTTTAAATAACATAATATAGATTGGGTATCAGGTTTCCGATCTTAGTTCTGAGGTTTTTATGAATGTTAAACATTTTTACTTAGTATACCTGACTACTGTTTCATAATGCAGTTTTCGAGATATAGTATAGTGGTTATCTATACTACTGGCACAAGTTAAAGATATATATAATACATATTTTATAATTATATCATAGTATTAATTTTTTTTAAAACTGTGTAAAACTTTATATATTTATTATATAAGATCTTTTTTATTTGTATTATAAAACATTTATTTAGTATTATTTGTTTTGATAACATTGTATTGAAAATTAAAAGAAATTATTATATAAAAATTAATAAAATACTATAAATTAAAAAATATCAATTTTATTTAATTTTACACAAAGGCATCAAAAAAGTTAATTGTAAATAAATTGTATTATATATATATAATTTCAATTAATTGAAAATATTACAACCAAATTGAACTCTTTCCAATAATTACTTAAACCAAACTAGCACCAAAACAGTTTAAAGAGTTATGTTTTTAAGTAGATAATATCTTTGATTCTGTTTTAATATATAAAGCAGATTGTTGCTAATGAACTAGAAGTACATAAAAAAACCAAGATGTAGGCAACTCTTCTAGTAGTTTATATTAAAATTAAACCTTTCTGCAGATGGATTCCTTAATACATTTAGTATCTAAACCAAAAGGATATTCTAGAAACAATAAAGAAAAATTCTGGTTAAAGGTTATTAAAAACTTGTAAACAGAACAAACAGCTGAAAACACTTTCTTTAGTTTGGCTTTTTACATATTATATTTATTAACCTTTTTCATCTATTTTATTTTTTATCCAAAAGTAGGAAATTTGGTTCTCTCTCTACAAAAGATCAGCATTGTTTAGCACTTTCTTTTTCAAACAATTACATGTTGTGACATGATGTAATAGAAACACAACAATTATATGTATAGACTAACATATAGTGTAATAAAGAAATAAAAAAGGATTTAAGTTAAAGGATTTTAGCAAATTAAAAATATATAGTAATTTCTAGAATTATATATATAGAATTTTTATCCTTTTAACATAGGTTAAAGTGTAGTTAGATTCTTAGCATAGGTTTAAAGTATAGTAACTTTACTGAAATGGTTATGAATAAGATATGCTCTCTAACACTTATTTTTTTTTCTTTTTTCTTTCTGCATTCCTTTTTAGTTTAGTTTAGTTTAGTTTTTTTTCTTTTATTTACTTTTCTATAAAAAAGTGTTATCAGTTTGGTAATATTCTATTGTAAGACAGTGGTTGGAAATAATCTTTTAGATGGTCTTGTTATTGTCTAATATGGTCAGTTGCTTCTAGACACTCAAAGAAGCAGCTGAAAGAGTTGGGTCTTTGAAATTAAATGTATAATATTTGCATCAGTACTTATATATTCTTAATATAAGTATATCAGTATGACTATCTAAATGAAAAAAAAATATTACAACAAGTAATTGTATTTAATTAATAATAAAATAATTATAATTTTTGCTTTAATATAAAGCTTATTATATATAAAACAAAAAACAATAAAACTAATTGCATCTAATTGTATCTAATATTAAATACAGATTACAACTGTATATTTTATATATAAATCTTATTACTTAATTTGATAATGTGATATTGGTAAAACTGTAATCTTTAAAAATCTCTATTTATAAAGTAACTATCAAAACTTCATATAATAACAGATATACAAACTATTTAAAAAAGATATATGATTTAATTAAATAAATATTTAAATTAATACATTATTGTTAATTTTTTTTTTACTAATTTTATTACTTATTTATAACTATTTATATTACTTATACTAAATATATTATTTATGCTAAATGCATTATTATACAACTTATGCTAAATATACTATTTATATTAAATGCACTATTATGTTATTTATACTAACTATACTGCTTATGCTAGATGTACTATATACTTTAATTAATATATTTGTTATTTTCCAATACTATACATTTGTTCTTATGCAATTGCACTTAATTTTGGCAGTTTTATTTTTATATATTATAATAAACATTTTAAATTAATTATATTTAAATATTTTTTTTCACTTTAGCAATCTTGTTGTAAATCTTTATTAAGGTTCTTATATATAATTTATATATATTTTAACTTAAGATTTTTGGTTCAACATTTTTTAACTACTTCTATGAATATCTAAAAGCAGTCTGTTATATTAGATAAGAATTTTTATTCTTGTCCAAGAGTTGTACCAAACTATTTGATAAGGCTATATATAAATAGTCTTAATTTATTATATATAAAATTTGTTATTAAGTCAAGTCATATTTTTTGAATTTCTTTAATTTTTTTCTTTATATTTTATCTTAATAATAGCTTGGTTTTTTCTTATTCTATTAGAACTTTTCTTATATTTAGTTAAATTTTCTTATTTTATTACTAATTGTTCTCTAGTATTTTTTTTTTGTTTTTTGACTTTTATATTAATTTCTATTTCCTTTTTTTATAATATAAAAGCTTTATATTACCTTTTTCATATATTTTTATAAAAACTATTTTATACTATATTATTATTATTTTTTTAAAAAGAAAGGTCTATCCTCTATCTCTTTATTAATTAGTCAAATTATATATATAAGATACATGTTGAAGAAACTAAACTAGAGAAGATAAAGATAAGAGCTACTTTACTCTCAACCTATTCTTTGCTAGAATGGTTAGTAAACCTCTAGTCTTTGATAAGGTGATAAAGAGAAAATTGTTCATTAATAATAAAATATTGTATTTTTTTATTTAATACTAG